ACGCAAAAACAGAAATCAAGCAAGCTTTTAGTTCCTAATTACACTCCAAATCATGCCAGTCACAAGCTATAGTCGGACCCGGATTTACAGACACCCACTTAATACGGACAGTTTTTTTACCCCTGGGGAAAGCCCTTACATTTTCTCTAAATTCAACCCACTTAATACGGACTCCCCGTTAATGCAGACAATGTGATACACCCTTCCGTTTTAAACGAAAAAAAAATAGCGTTCAGTGGACAGCTGCTTATCGATGCTCCCAGCGCTAAGGCACATCGGATAGGATAAAGTGTCGACTTCAAGGTCATATTTTGGCATCAAACGAGAACGGCAGTTCTGATTACGTAATGGCATAGATTGGCGATGAGTGTTTCCCGGGATCTAGTCCACGGTATGACGGTTTTGTGAAGGTTAGAGATGTTTAATTCTACGATGCTAATGTCCTCTTTAGTATTTTGTTCAAATAAAAGCTGAATTTTTTACATAACATGACCCGCTTAATATGGACACTCCGTTGATACGGATCCTGTCTGTGGCCCCGCTAGCGTCAGTATTAACGTGGTTTAACTGTCCTTGTCTCTCCTGGTCACGCAAAGACGACAGTGTTGTCATTAATTAAAGAACAATATTTTGTTTTATTCCTTACATACAGAAATACCACAGACTGAAGCAATAATGATAAATGGATTCAGAAGACCAAAAGCGAAGCTCTTGTGGGAAGTTTTGAAAAATGTCTTTCTGAAGTAATTCAACTTTTCCCATAAGCAAGTGGTAAACTGAATTTTCTTTAAAACATGGACCTGAGCCGGTGATCAATTAAAAACTAATAACTGGTCAGCGGTGAACTTAAAAAAAACACGTCAAAACAATCAGTTGTGCACCTGAGCCCGTAATACAGTCATATAAAACTGGTCAGCGGACACCCTATTTTGACAGCTGTCAATTGAACATAACATGGATGTCCAAAATCAAGTTAATACAGATTGCATATATTCTTGTCGTGCAACTGAGGTGGTAGGAGAGCGAAAAAGGAACTTAATTAAATCTGGCAAACCACATGGCTGTTCCTCACTGTGATGGTGAAATAGTGAATTCACCGAAACGCAACTAGCCTTTACTTCTGCGGGCGCTTTTTCAGCGATAACATCACTTGTGATGGCCGATGTTATTCATTACTTGCTGCCTCTCCACAAGGTGTGTCACGCGGTTCGTTATACAGAGCATACGCCTTAGCTGGTCACGAAAGTGTCTGTTTCTGTAGCCGTAGATCCAAGGATTAGTCGCGCAACTCATGCTCATAAGAAATGCTGCAGCAAGATCAACCGAGTCAGGAATGTAACCGATCCGGGCCACGCGCAAGAAATGGATGACAAGAATTGGAATCCACGTGACTATGTATACGCCAATCAATAGAAGGACGGTTTTTGCAACTTTTACCTGGAGATAGATAAGAAAGGAAATTCAGTACGACTTATTAACGCAAAAGCTGTAGGGGTTGTTTGGAGATACAGAAAAAAACATGGCGGACAGCAGCAAGCCACCTGTTACTCGCCCCATGTAAGAGAATCCAAGATAGTCTTGGATTTTGGATTCCACGCCTTGGATTTAGGATTCCAATCACTGGATTCCAGATATTTTACAGTAGAACTTAGATTCCGAATTCCAATTGTTAGTGGAATTCCGGAATCCTACAGCAGTATTCCGGATTCCAATGCCCAGGATTTTCCTTTCCACAGGCAAAAATTTGTATGGTGACTCGATGCAGTTTTTCAGGGGCAAGTTTGAGCATAAAACTACGTCGCCATAAACAAAGATTTGGAAACGTTTTCACAACAGTTGTATTAGATAAAGATGAAAATTTGTTATGACCAGAGTTACAATGGCATCGGAGTTGTCATAGAAACGATACGACGCCATGACTTATTTTACTTGCAGCAGTATTTCGCGGTACTGGGCACTGTTCTTCCAAAATCGTTTACTGGAGCTTTTTCCTCCAATAGCGGCCTCGATGTCCGTGAAGTTTAAGCGAAATCTGTAAGAACGTTATCAAGATATTTTGGGATGAAGTTTTAATGGTTAGAAATATAGTAAAAAATAGACAATCTTGATGTTTTGAGGTTACCTGTAGAAAACGAAACGCTTTTAACATGCAATTTTACCTCATAGTAGTTTAAATCTTCTTATAAACGTGTGTGAAAGATCATGGAGATAGATTCAGCCGACTGCTAGAAAGGAGGATTTGGTTAGTATTTATCGAGGCGCTCTCGTTAGCGGTTTTGTAAACATTTCGGTCCACTTTAACAAGTTAGCAAATGATTCTTAAACCGCTCCACAGATTGACCCATAAAAACTGTATCGAGCCACCTTAAAACAGTATTTGAAGCATTTGTAGTGAGGGCACCATGTTTGTTGACTTTCCCGCTGTCCCTTCAAACAATTCCAAGAAGCATTGTGGTTGCACATCGTAACCAGTTTTTCACTCGTCAAAGGGTGACATGGCGAATAAACTCGTGGTGAACTTGTGAGTGTTTATGGGAAAACTTGACAAGTCTTTTCTTTGACAAAAGAAAAAAATGTCAAGCTACCTCTTAGTTTAGTTGCACTTGGGGTCAAAGAATAAGCCACATGGAATTTTACTGATGTACAGAAAGGAAAGAAATTGGTTTATAAGAAATAAAAGCGATATTTCTCCAAAATCTATTGGCGGTGCTTTCTACCCTGCAAGAGACACTCGTTACCCGAGTATATGTTCTTTACGGTTACCCATTGTTAGATTATTCGTTACTACACCTCCTTTAATTTAGCGTCTTCAATTTTACAAAGTAAATCTATGATTCTTTACCCTCAATAGACGTTTAATTTGCTCTAAGAAAGTGCCTTTATGTTGAACATTTCACTTTCGGAGTGCACAATCACAATGAAAACAATAATTTTTACTAAATATTTCTGCCAAACAGTGACATTTTTTGCTGGCTTTTGACTCTCTAGAACCACCCTTCGCGGTCAACGCTATAACTATTTTAATAGTTATAGCTCCTGTTATGCTTAAATATATTTTATATGCTTAATATATTTCTAAATATACACATATTTAAGCATAACAGGAGCCCATAACCGGAGCGAGCAATTTCCATGCGCTCTTGCCACGGCGTTTTCACGGACTAGTTTATTTTTAGAACGGTTTTGGCGCGAATTTTGAATACCTTTTAAACTCCACAAACCAGTCAGCAAAACCTACAGACTTAAATAAGATATTTTTTGCCTTTTAGTTTTTTATACTTCGAATGCGCTCATAGACATGGTGAAGATTCTATTTTCGTGGGAAGAAGTGCCCTACAATGTGTCTAAAAATAAAATGGTCCGTAAAAACGCCGTGACATAGACCTAGTATGGGAGTTGCTCACTCCGGGTTATGGGCCCCTGGCATATCCAGTATAAACGCACTCAGTCAGGTTTACATTAGCATTCACTGCCGAGGCTGGTTTACCTTTGCATACTCTGGGTGCATCTACACGTGTTTGCCAAGAGTAATGATCGGTTGTCACTGACTAGTACACAATGTTTGGCTGAACAGATAGAAAACTAGAAACCTCGTGCTCTAAAAGCAACACCAAACTGCGTATGCACGTGGGCGTTTCAAAAGCCATACGTCTTACACCATTAGCCTTCACAACAGACCTGATAAGAATTTCCTTATTTAGAACATCGATAATTTAAAACGTATAAAAAATTTCTGTTCACTCTATGGTCCGGTGTATAAGAGAGTTGAGTATGAAAATAAAATCCGGGGGAGGGGTACGCCCCAAAGGGTATGATTTTGTGCCGTTTTGGTCTGGAATTGGGTATGGTTTTCGTTGAAACTACGGGAGTGTATGAACGTATTCATCACTTCAATTCCAAATGAATTAGAAAAAAAGAGAAATGTGCGAATTCGAAGTGGATTTTAAGAAATAGTTTTTTGTTGGTGTTCTGATCTAAAGCTGTAAGTAATAGCGGAGAACATAATTTCTTAGAGGCCAGGTCTGAAAACGAATGTGAAAAATGACATTTTTTCGTCTGAAATAGGGTCAGGATTTGGAGAACTGGGCGGCACACTCCCACCAAGAATTCCCAGAAGTACCTCCCCGAGAGAAAAATACCTCATTGGTAAAACTGCTGCCGGTTATTGCTTTCGTGTCATAAGCCACTGTCATGATTTTCTTTGACAGAAATGTCGGCCACAATGAAAAAGAAATGATAAAAAAAAAAAAAAAAATTATGTGCTTGACATTTCCTGCCGGTATTTTTCCGACAATTTTTGAGTTTATGTCCTCAAAAAATTTGATCAATAAAGACTAACATGAAGGCAAAATAACACTTATTAAGAATGCGCAAGGTACGTATTGAAAGACGAAATGTGATCTGGTACGTTTCTTCTTCAGAACGATAAAACGTCACAAATGAGAATGGGCATTAGGTAAACAATTCATTAGATTTTTGCCTTTTTAAACTCATTTCCATGCCAAGAACTGAAATTAATTTAAACATGTTTCAAATCTAACAAAATAAAGAGAAAACCTTATTATATACTGTGAATGTCGATTATTTTAGTTTCTCAAGTTGGAGAAAAAAAAGGACCAGACTTTACAATAAAAGATGTTTCAAGTGTTTTTGAATAGGTATGATAGAAACAGAAACTTACGCAACATTGGAACTGGGATCATAAACAAACAAAATATATCGATCGATCGAAAGTTCAATCGCTAGATTACCAAAAAAATTCTCGAGTATGAACAGTAACAAGTACCAAAAAACCCACCGTTAGTCCGTTAACGGAAAACTTGGTGATGCCTTTTAAATCAGTTATCACTTTGAAATATGGTGTTCTCAATGTTTCACTTCAAATTTTGGGTTTTGTTTTGCTCTGTGTATATCATTCTCAGAGTGGGCTTTAAACAAGTGTAAGAGGCTATGGACCATGTATTGCAGAGAGGGATCATCAATATAAGCCAAATACATGAAGGCTTTTCATAAAGTACTCAAGGCAAATTAATAATAATAATAATTATAAAACAGCCAATTTTATTACTTACCTCCTTGTGGATCCGGCTTTCTTTACCTTCCGCACTCAGTGTCCTGGCTAAAGTTCTCATGCCCTGCTCCATCACACGTCTTCTGCTTCTTCTAATAGCCATGTAAATCTTGAAGTAGCACCATATCAAGACCGAAAATGGCGTTGCAATGAATGCCAGCACCAGGAAAGTCGTGTAGGAGTAACTGCTTCCGACAGCGATGAAACAAGTCGCGCGGGAAGCGAAAAATCCATAATGGCCCCAGCCAAAGTTGGGTGGAAGAGAACTAAACACGGCGAGAAACCACAGAAGTACCACCATCGCTCTTGTCCTTCGTTTGCTGAAAAATGTGACGCTTTCACTGGGGCGTACGATCAAAAAATACCTGTTGGCGCTTATAATTGTCACTGACATTAAAGACGCCAAAAGAAACGTCAGCGTGTAGCAGCCGTTAACGCGGCAGAGAGTTTCGTTTAAAATCCACTGCCTTTTTATGAGGACACCGGCTGAAACTGAGAGAGTAAGGGCAATTCGCAGAATATCTGAGATGCTGAGATTTACAATCAGGAAGTTTGGGACTGTTTGAAGATGACGGTGTGTATAAACCGTAGCGCAAGCACTGAAATTTCCGATGAGACCGAAAATGATGAGAAGTAGAACAAAGATGACTTGTAAGGCTACGATGAACACGGGTTCTTCATTCAGCGGTGGAATCTCAATCGAATTTTCCATCGTTGGTTAGTCGGGTTCAGGAAACGTAGAAAATGAAATGTTTCAACATACTCAAGCTATTTCTCTTAAAATCAGAGATGGAAGTTCAGATAAGATGCCATAAAATGCCGCCCTCTTAAGTGAATCTGATTGAAATTGTAACAAAGATAATTAGAAAAAAGAGAAAACGTATTTTCCAGCAATAGTTAAAAGACTTCTCGAACCTGCATTGACGGTAATAAGACGTCAATATTCTCCCACGCATCACCTAGACTACAATTGTCATTTGATAAATATGATATTTCTCCCACTTTATAATTATTTACACCTGCAGCGGGCGGATCACGATGAGTATATACCCTGATTTTTTCTCTCCTCAAAGTAACGTATATTTACACTAGAAAGTAAACAACTAAAGATTCGACAGATGGGTGTATTTGCTTAAAGTCCGATTCGGAACATTACTTTGATCAAGCATTTGCATATCGATGTGGAAAGACAAAAACGTGAACACATTTTATTCCCTTTTTGATGAAAACAACTGGCCAATTAAAACCTGCTTCAAGCACATACATAAGTAGGAAAAGGAAAAAAATTCAGATTGGATAAAATTATCATTAACATCAGAATATGTTTCAGTAACGGTTCTCATTGTGAGAGGTTTCGCGCATGAGATGATAAAAAACCCCTAAGAGCTTTTCACATTCGACATAAATTAGTTTAAAAGTTCCGCACTCGAGAAAATACAATATTGACTAGTAACTCAACGAAGCAATGTACATGTATAGAAAAGTATAAGACAAGTATATTAGAATAAGAAGCATTGTGGTTGCACATCGTAACCAGTTTTTCACTCGTCAAAGGGTGACATGGCGAATAAACTCGTGGTGAACTTGTGAGTGTTTATGGGAAAACTTGACAAGTCTTTTCTTTGACAAAAGAAAAATATGTCAAGCTACCTCTTAGTTTAGTTGCACTTGGGGTCAAAGAATAAGCCACAGGGAATTTTACTGATGTACAGAAAGGAAAGAAATTGGTTTATAAGAAATAAAAGCGATATTTCTCCAAAATCTATTGGCGGTGCTTTCTACCCTGTAAGAGACACTCGTTACCCGAGTATATGCTCTTTACGGTTTCCCATTGTTAGATTACTCGTTATTACACCTCCTTTAATTTAGCGTCTTCAAGTTTACAAAGTAAATTCTATGATTCTTTACCCTCAATAGACGTTTAATTTGCTCTAAGAAAGTGCCTTTATGTTTAGTCTTTGAAATGAACATTTCACTTTCGGAGTGCACAATCATAATGAAAACAATAATTTTTACTAAATATTTCTGCCAAACAGTGACATTTTTTGCTGGCTTTTGACTCTCTAGAACCACCATTCGCGGTCAACGCTATAACTATTTTAATAGTTATAGCTCCTGTTATGCTTCAATATATTTTATATGCTTAATATATTTCTAAATATACCCATATTTAAGCATAACAGGAGCCCATAACCGGAGCGAGCAATTTCCATGCGCTCTTGCCACGGCGTTTTCACGGACCAGTTTATTTTTAGAACGGTTTTGGCGCGAATTTTGAATGCCATTTAAATTCCACAAACCAGTCAGCAAAACCTACAGACTTAAATAAGATATTTTTTGCCTTTTAGTTTTTTATACTTCGAATGCGCTCATAGATATGGTGAGGATTCTATTTTCGCGGGAAGAAGTGCCCTACAATGTGTCTAAAAATAAAATGGTCCGTAAAAACGCCGTGACATAGACCTAGTATGGGAGTTGCTCACTCCGGGTTATGGGCCCCTGGCATATCCAGTATAAACGCACTCAGTCAGGTTTACATTAGCATTCACTGCCGAGGCTGGTTTACCTTTGCATACTCTGGGTGCATCTACACGTGTTTGCCAAGAGTAATGATCGGTTGTCACTGACTAGTACACAATGTTTGGCTGAACAGATAGAAAACTAGAAACCTCGTGCTCTAAAAGCAACACCAAACTGCGTATGCACGTGGGCGTTTCAAAAGCCATACGTCTTACACCATTAGCCTTCACAACAGACCTGATAAGAATTTCCTTATTTAGAACATCGATAATTTAAAACGTATAAAAAATTTCTGTTCACTCTATGGTCCGGTGTATAAGAGAGTTGAGTATGAAAATAAAATCCGGGGGAGGGGTACGCCCCAAAGGGTATGATTTTGTGCCGTTTTGGTCTGGAATTGGGTATGGTTTTCGTTGAAACTACGGGAGTGTATGAACGTATTCATCACTTCAATTCCAAATGAATTAGAAAAAAAGAGAAATGTGCGAATTCGAAGTGGATTTTAAGAAATAGTTTTTTGTTGGTGTTCTGATCTAAAGCTGTAAGTAATAGCGGAGAACATAATTTCTTAGAGGCCAGGTCTGAAAACGAATGTGAAAAATGACATTTTTTCGTCTGAAATAGGGTCAGGATTTGGAGAACTGGGCGGCACACTCCCACCAAGAATTCCCAGAAGTACCTCCCCGAGAGAAAAATACCTCATTGGTAAAACTGCTGCCGGTTATTGCTTTCGTGTCATAAGCCACTGTCATGATTTTCTTTGACAGAAATGTCGGCCACAATGAAAAAGAAATGATAAAAAAAAAAAAAAAAATTATGTGCTTGACATTTCCTGCCGGTATTTTTCCGACAATTTTTGAGTTTATGTCCTCAAAAAATTTGATCAATAAAGACTAACATGAAGGCAAAATAACACTTATTAAGAATGCGCAAGGTACGTATTGAAAGACGAAATGTGATCTGGTACGTTTCTTCTTCAGAACGATAAAACGTCACAAATGAGAATGGGCATTAGGTAAACAATTCATTAGATTTTTGCCTTTTTAAACTCATTTCCATGCCAAGAACTGAAATTAATTTAAACATGTTTCAAATCTAACAAAATAAAGAGAAAACCTTATTATATACTGTGAATGTCGATTATTTTAGTTTCTCAAGTTGGAGAAAAAAAAGGACCAGACTTTACAATAAAAGATGTTTCAAGTGTTTTTGAATAGGTATGATAGAAACAGAAACTTACGCAACATTGGAACTGGGATCATAAACAAACAAAATATATCGATCGATCGAAAGTTCAATCGCTAGATTACCAAAAAAATTCTCGAGTATGAACAGTAACAAGTACCAAAAAACCCTCCGTTAGTCCGTTAACGGAAAACTTGGTGATGCCTTTTAAATCAGTTATCACTTTGAAATATGGTGTTCTCAATGTTTCACTTCAAATTTTGGGTTTTGTTTTGCTCTGTGTATATCATTCTCAGAGTGGGCTTTAAACAAGTGTAAGAGGCTATGGACCATGTATTGCAGAGAGGGATCATCAATAAAAGCCAAATACATGAAGGCTTTTCATAAAGTACTCAAGGTAAATTAATAACAATAATTATAAAACAGCCAATTTTATTACTTACTTCCTTGTGGATCCGGCTTTCTTTACCTTCCGCACTCAGTGTCCTGGCTAAAGTTCTCACGCCCTGCTCCATCACACGTCTCCTGCTTCTTCTAATAGCCATGTAAATCTTGAAGTAGCACCATATCAAGACCGAAAATGGCGTTGCAATGAATGCCAGCACCAGGAAAGTCGTGTAAGAGTAACTGCTTCCAACAGCGATGAAACAAGTCGCGCGAGAAGCGAAAAATCCATAATGGCCCCAGCCAAAGTTGGGTGGAAGAGAACTAAACACGGCGAGAAACCACAGAAGTACCACCATCGCTCTTGTCCTTCGTTTGCTGAAAAATGTGACGCTTTCACTGGGGCGTACGATCAAAAAATACCTGTTGGCGCTTATAATTGTCACTGACATTAAAGACGCCAAAAGAAACGTCAGCGTGTAGCAGCCGTTAACGCGGCAGAGAGTTTCGTTTAAAATCCACTGCCTTTTTATGAGGACACCGGCTGAAACTGAGAGAGTAAGGGCAATTCGCAGAATATCTGAGATGCTGAGATTTACAATCAGGAAGTTTGGGACTGTTTGAAGATGACGGTGTGTATAAACCGTAGCGCAAGCACTGAAATTTCCGATGAGACCGAAAATGATGAGAAGTAGAACAAAGATGACTTGTAAGGCTACGATGAACACGGGTTCTTCATTCAGCGGTGGAATCTCAATCGAATTTTCCATCGTTGGTTAGTCGGTTTCAGGGAACGTAGAAAATGAAATGTTTCAACATACTCAAGCTATTTCTCTTAAAATCAGAGATGGAAGTTCAGATAAGATGCCATAAAATGCCGCGCTCTTAAGTGAATCTGATTGAAATTGTAACAAAGATAATTAGAAAAAAGAGAAAACGTAATTTCCAGCAACAGTTAAAAGACTTCTCGAACCTGCATTGACGGTAATAAGACGTCAATATTCTCCGACGCATCACCTAGACTACAATTGTCATTTGATAAATATGATATTTCTCCCACTTTATAATTATTTACACCTGCAGCGGGGGGATCACGATGATTATATACCCTGATTTTTTCTCTCCTCAAAGTAACGTATATTTACACTAGAAAGTAAACAACTAAAGATTCGACAGATGGGTGTATTTGCTTAAAGTCCGATTCGGAACATTACTTTGATCAAGCATTTGCATATCGATGTGGAAAGACAAAAACGTGAACACATTTTATTCCCTTTTTGATGAAAACAACTGGCCAATTAAAACCTGCTTCAAGCACATACATAAGTAGGAAAAGGAAAAAAATTCAGATTGGATAAAATTATCATTAACATCAGAATATGTTTCAGTAACGGTTCTCATTGTGAGAGGTTTCGCGCATGAGATGATAAAAAACCCCTAAGAGCTTTTCACATTCGACATAAATTAGTTTAAAAGTTCCGCACTCGAGAAAATACAATATTGACTAGTAACTCAACGAAGCAATGTACATGTATAGAAAAGTATAAGACAAGTATATTAGAAAAGGAAAAAAGGCCTAAATTACTTATTCTAGCAATTTTTTTAACACAAACGGTTGTGCATGTATAGGCGATCGAAAAAAAGACTTCACAGACGCTAAACGTTTTCTCATTTCATTTTTATTTATTCTAGAAAAAACGTCTTACCTAAAAATAAGCTTTGAATCAAAAACCGTATCTCCTCGATTAACCAACCTTATTGGAATTAGTATTTTTTTTTGGAAAATATCTTGTCTTTCAATATACTTATAGAAAAGCATTACTTAAAAAAGAAAATAAAAAAGATTGCAGAATTCCCTTTCGTGTGTTCAACCAAGGCGAAATATATCGAACAACAGAAATACTATAATACAGACGAAGTTTAAACAGGCGTTTAATTGAATAGATACGGTCTCTTCAATTCCCCTCAACACTAAAACGAAAGGTTGTTTCTCCTCCACTTTCTTTCCAGTATAGGCCATGAAACTGCTTATGGCCCCTGATCTATACTAAATTCTACTTAATTTCGAAATCTTTACAAATACATAAATTGTAAGAATACTGCTCGAGGGTTATCTTTGAGAAACGCGGAATTTTTTTAAAATGCAGTAAAAGGATATTAACAAAGGCAATCTTCTCCCTGGAGTGTAGGAGACAGCTGCACTAAAACCACAACCACAACTTTTGCACAAACAGCCCTTATACCTGATACTAATTTCACTTACAAACCTATTTAATATTAAAAAAGTCGCAAAGTTTCAGTAGTCATTAAAAAAAAGTCACACATTATTGCGTCAAAATGCAACAACTTGCAAAATGTATCCCTCCTCAAATCAATTTCCGGAGAAAGAACTTTTTTTGTTTTTATCTTAGAAAAGAATTCTTCAAAACGCCTAACAAAAGCATTTTCTCTCTTACTTGTCATATAAAAATAGATTGTTCTTATAGTATCATTTACTCTAAATGCTTTCTTTACTTTTTAGTATTTTTTACTGAATAAAGAGTTTCAGTTTTCGTGTCTAAGAGTTTCTTATCTTACTCTTATAAGTTGGCACGAAAATTCTTAAACAGCCATCTAAAATTTCATTACCAACGAACTGGAATTTACTATTCTGTAACCTTCCCAGTCAAATAAATTTATCCGGCCCTGAAATTATTGCACCAAGCTAGTTCTCAAAGTACTACATAATCATTTTGCACATCGTGGGATGTTTGGAGATGTTTATCTGAGCCTGTTTTACTAAAAGTCTTTGAGCACGAGGTGGCCGGCAGAGAAAACGGGAGCAAGAGCTTAAATTACTGCTAGCAAAGGTGGAAATTATTAACGACCTACAATAGCTAATTTTTTCAGTACTGAAGCTGGAATGTTACTGAAAGTTAGCGTACAAATCAAATGAATCCAAATATTCTTGTAACGTGGTGTAGCAGAACTCGTACTGCTCCTGAGAAAGGACAAAGAAATAAGATAAGGGAATGGTTAAGATTGAATAATAAAAGAAAAAAGACAAAGAATGATTATTATTAGGGTACCTGAGGACTTTTTGTCAGTACGATGCTGTATAAAACTAGGAACATATGGACAACTAACCGAATAAGATTTGGAAGGCATTAAAGAGGCTGTTTCATGGCTGCCTAAGTTCAGTGGAACCTTGATATAACGAACGATATTTTTTGCCCCAGTAGTAGTAAAATATAAATAAAAGAACCTCGATTTAACGAAAGTTTGTCATAGCGAACAGAGTTTTCCAGTCCCTTGGCCCTTCGTTATGTCGTGGTTCCATTTCCACCTTTTCATATTATTAGTGGATGTTTTTATGTTTCACTCAATATGGTGATAAGTCCCATTGTTCGAATTTGTTTCACTTCCGTGACATACGGCTCCTTCAATAGTCAGCTTTTAAAAATGTCTATGATTGTGAAAACGGAAAACGCATTACATTAACCACCGAGCAGGATAGGTAGTTCACATCTAGTCGAACACCGCTGGTGTCGAACATGATTACAGGAGCTTCATTACATCTTTTTCTTTTCTATTCAGAAACGTATGTAGTTACTGACACTGAAAGTGGGTGTGACCACACATATAAATAAACAACCTAGGCGGTTAAAACATCTTCGGAAACCCAGGGGCAGTCAGTCGGGTTGGTAGCCTTAAAACGGCGCCACGTCGTCAAATTTCTCTCAACTTGACTGACTGCCCGTGGTTTTCCGATAGTGGTGAAATTTGGGCTAAAAAAGGTTATTTACAACCGTACTGGTAGCCAGGGACCAGGCTCCGCATTGAGGGAAAAAGGAAAAAAATATCGGCGTAAGCGAAAAAAAAATCGGCTCGGAGAGATAGCCTCCCCAGGCAACCGCTGGGCTCGCTTCGCACGCCGATGTTTTTCCTATTTGACCCCGTTTTTTGCCTTTTCCCCCGACTGCCGAGCCTGGTTCCAGGCTACCGCACGCGTTCAGGATGTTGATTAAACTACCAGGATCATGTACAGTTTCATATCCTCATCCCTAGTTTGATTTATTTCATATAATTATTCGAAGTATAACTGAAATTGCTATTAGTTAAAAAATGTACGACAGTTTGAAAATAACTTAAGTCGCGGATTTTGCCGCACGGCACCTTAGAATCTGGTGAAATCGTTTTAGACATATACTAGACCATTTCACTATTTTTATGCCTGGTAAAATCTCCTCAAATTAGATACATTCGTATGTAATTCTTTACAGCTCATATGTGGCGAACCTAACGCGAGAACAATAGATTTTGCTCACGAGTGAAGTTCGACGTTTGTCTCGGGCTTGTACACCATTCAGTAGCAAAACTTTTTCAAGGAATTGTGATCCACAGATCAGTATTATTTTTCATCCAACAATGAATTTCGTGGACTTATGGCACCATCTTCCAAACGGCCAAATTAACTCGAACAAAGTCTTATGGAACAATCTTACACCTTTCGTTCGCGATCGTAGGTACATGTAGCCCAGGCGCGACGAGCGATCTTTCGCCCTTCTTTTCCTGACTTTTTCACTCTCCTCCAGCACTGAAAATTCGTGACTCTACTTTCCACATATTTAAAAAATTAACTTACCGCCGTTTGCACCATGGCGGGCCTTTGAAGCCTCATTGCTTGAACAGTTTGAAACACGTCAATCACTCCTTCGGCTTTCAATCGTTCGATCATCATACTAATGCCACAAAACACGCCTGTACGACCAACACCGCCACTAAAAAGACAAGTAAACCCATTAGAAATCTACGATCATAACCGTATAAAACGTGTGTAACGAAAAACGAAACGCACCTTATTTGAGTGTCAATGTTTAAGCACGAAAGTACTAATTGAGGACACTAAAGAACCGCCATTTTACGTGGTCATACGAGCCACGCGAAGGTCTAGCCATTAGGGTAGTGCTCTGGCTCCAGAAATCGAACCTGAGACTTTCCGCTCAGCAGTCATGTACCGGAGAGGTAAGTTTCCGACAGATCGAAGCGTTCGGTTAAAGAAGGCCACATGAAGTAAGGAGAGAGAAACTAAGCGCAGAAAAAAAATCACACAGGTAATTTAAATCACCAGCATATGTTTGTTCACTGTTTTCTTCATTTCAGCGTTTTACCTGCAGTGAATTACGATAATTGTGTTTCCACTTTGCTGTTGCCACTTCTGCACTTGCCCGATAAGATCCACAATCCCAACTCCAGAGTCCGGCAGTCCCGTGTCTGGCCAATCAATGTACTGGAACTGAGTCACTGTGCGAGATTCCTTAAACTAAATACAAACCAATCAATTAATCAATCACTAAATCTATCAGTCAGTCAGTCCTTCCGTCCGTCCGTTCGTCCGTACATTCGTCCGTCAGTCGGTCAGTCAGTCAGTCAATCAATCAATCAAAATAAAACCAACAGAACCACCGCAAACTACAACTGACAACCGCAACGATGATTAGACAGACAAAACGAAGACGTTGCTTTCTACCGCGACTCAATTAACGGTTTCCGAAGTTTATACAGTGTGCGACTACCACCTCTAGTAAGCGATCACCCGCCAAAAGCGACCACCCATCCAAAACACCACGATTTTCGCAGTGAAATCACCACAGTTAGAACCTCTCGTAGGCGACCGAGACAACTTCCTTGGATGACGAATTTTCCACCTTTTTTATTCTGCTGTAAGTGACCACTTAAGGCATAGTTTGATCTCCATGTTCGTAGTATGTACAAAACAACTAAGAGAATGCGACTTTTAGTGACAACATGAAACTACACCTATCGTCGTAACTTAGAAATTGCAGGCAACGAATTATGTGCCAAAATGCAAATGTGTTTGGACCATTTCTAAGAAAGCAGCCCATGTGGTTTAATTCCCGTAGGCGACCACTAAGTCTTCGCATTTTCAGTGGTCGCTTACGGGAGGTTCGACTGTGTTACAACTCGTACTGAGGAACTGGATCTCTTAGGAATGGTAGTCATTATCTCAAAACGTGCTACATAACTAAGTTCGGGTGACAAAATAAAGGGTTTCTCTGTGCTGAACATTGGGCGTTAGCTGCTGCTAACTCCAACGATATGATAAATGCAACTGGACCCAGTTGTAAAACTGCTTATGTGAGTCGTCAGCGATCAAGAGCAAAACATACGAGTATGCTTTCATGTTACCTCTGTGTGCGTCATTTTAAATTTCCTGGCCACGTAATCAGTATAGGAACCTTCTTCCATCAGTTCAACGAGAATACCTCCATGAAGGCGAGATCCCTCGGATGGCCAGTATCTGTGACATTTTATCTAAAACGTAAAAATAAAAACACAATTCAAAAGGTTATTAGTGTATATAGTGTATACGAATCCCTATCAGATGAATCTCCACAGAGTGAATGCCGTCCAGTCTGGCTGGGGAGTTATGCAAGGTGATATAAAGCCCAGTCGATGTATACCAAACAAAGATTTTCGAAAGGTGTACGCAGAGGAACATAACCGACTTTTTCAACGCTTCGGTAACTACAGATAGCATAAAGATCTTTTCTGTTACATTTTGTACTCTGGTTACTGTTTACTGCACTTGCAAAATAGCGAAAGACGCTTTCAGAATTGTGCTTTACGTTACAACGTTTTACATGCAGCATTGCCCTGTAGCTGGTTTCGTTTGAAACAGTAATTTGTCTGTAGCTGAGATGAACAATGTTGTATGCTAATGAAAGACAGTGTCTTTGTACTGTGAAATAATAACTTTAAATGCAATTTAAAGACGAGTGTAAGCCCGGTTTTAGCTACTGAACACTTAAAACGGTAAGTGGAGTTATAAAAATGACGTCATCATAGTAACCTCTTTTATACGGACACCTCTCTAATACGGACACTACTTCGTTCTGTCCCTTCGGTGGCCGTATTAGAGAGGTTCGACTGTATGATTAAATAGGCCTTTTCTGGAAACGAACTATTCTTTTCTGCAGATTTAGTATAAAGTTTAGTAAAGATGCACTCAAGTGTCCACTATCTTTATACAGAACGTGCGGCAATGCGTAAGTCAACAAAGTCCATACAAGGTTAAAACTGTACACGAAAAAGGATTGCCTGTTTTTGAGACCTACTGATTGGTTGATACGGTATCCTAGTCCCAGGCCTACTCATACCTTCCCAGCCTCCTCCTCTCTCGTCAGCATCACGACAGTGGCGGATTCCTGTTCCCAAATCATTCGCCAAAAGTCATCAAAAGTGTCCGGTATTGGCGCCTGGGTTGCTATGTAAGCTCTAGGCTGACAGTAGCCCTGAAACAGACAAGCAATAACTACGATCTTACCAATTTTTTGCTTTCTAACGAACACATCTAGCTCTACAAATCTTTCAAATGCGAAAGCACACTTTCGTGTATATCCTTTTAAAAATACAACTTACATCAATGAAGTTGGCATTAATATAGTCAGATCCCATCTCCCCTGGTCTCATCTTCAAATGGACTCTCGTACTTTCGACTGTAAAAAGAAAATAACATCATCCAATAATACTCTTAATAAAAGCCGGGTTACTTGGTGCAGGCATACGTATTAGCAAATCTGGCTAAAAGGTACGCGTCCCAAGAATAAGCAGAGGTAGAAGGTAATAAAAATAAATCTTTGGCTCGATTATTTTGGTGACAAAGAACCGATCCAACATGGCACAAACTAGAGCAGAGTCGTCAAGAACACCAAGTTTTACTTGGCGCCGACCTGGTTACATAAACGACCAAAAAACGCAAGACTTGTCACCACCAAAGGAGAATAGAAACGTTTCCTTTTTTCATTCTTATCCTTGTATGAGCGCTTGCATCGCACCGGTTTACACCTAGTTTTCCAGCGGTTACGCTCTTGTTTATGCTTCTACTTCTAAACCATTGAAGCATTTGCACCAGCAATCAACCAAGTTTGCTTGGTGATGAGTAAGCTAATCGATTCAGCAATTTAAAACCCGTAACAGACAAATGATCCATTAAACCTTTAGAAGGCCTTATCTGAAAGCACTCATCAGAATGTGCAATGAAATACTTACATGGTAGAATATTTGCGTATCGATTTTTTGCAGCATTGCAATTAAGACTGGCACTCTTGAAAGCTATGGGGTGATTCTCTTCTTTAGCCAACCGGCAAAACTCGTTTTCCAAGTAAGTATAGCCGGTCTCCGGGTCAAATTGACGAAGTTCCCGTATGCGGGAACCCAGGTCTTTAGCCTCGACTTCCGTGACTCCACAGGTGATGGCCTCGAGAAGAGCATCATGAATAAAAACGTACTGCGCCTAAGACAAATGTCCATAGCAAAGAAAAAGTAAATTTCCTTTCTATCGTTGGGTTCTGCTTGCGTTTTGCTCTGCAATCGCAGTCATCTTCATGCGATGACCAGGCTAGGTGAGCATTGGCTTTGCACACGTTCGGTATGTACTTAGGGCAGAACTATATCAGGAAAAATTGTTGCAGACATTGGAGAAAATTTTTCTCCATCTCAAATAAATTGTAAACATATGTTGCGTATGCGCGACTCATAGTTGGGGTGCTTTGCACGCCAACGCCACCACCTATTTCCAACAAAACATCAGCACCGAAGGTGCGATCCTGGTAAATATAAAAGATGGCCATTTTCTTAAATGTCTCGCTCTGTTCTTGTGATCCGCTTGACTTATTTTTGCAGTGTTAATCTCGACATAAACGTGAAAGTTGAGCTTGGTTCAACTTTTACGTTTTCGCGTGACCTTCCATACATTGTCTCTATTTTATTTACGCGCGTAAATTTTACGTGCATTCGCACAAAAAAATTTCGCGACAGTGGCAATCAACCTTAAAGCAAAGTAGACATACTCAGCCTGTAAATCATGCAGCAATTATTTCTAACTCATTCGTTATCATTAACAAAAGTGACTTAGGCGTCCACCACTTACCTCAGTTTGAACCATGAAGTTTCTCTGGTATCTCATTTGACGAACGAAACCAAACACGTCTACACTATCTTCCAAACTAATCCTCTGTAACATAACATCAAGTGTGACAAACGTACCGGTTCGGCCAACACCCGCACTAAGGAAAACAAATCACAGTCTGTTAAGGTGGATATTCACTGTGACGTAATTTCTACGTGCGTACGCACGTTTATTTTACGCGCGTAGAGAAGATAAAGGCAATCTGTGAAAGCCCGCACGTATACGTACATTCAACTTTAACGCGCGTAAAACATGCGCGACAGCCGAAATCTACCCTTACGCAAATACACACTAACCGCGAACACGTGGAAACGTTCCCATGAAGCCTGTTGTTCGCATAAGAACAAACGCAAGTTTGTGATTCACGCGCTGTTGTACCATTTCTTCTGTTTAACGTTTAAGTTTACTGGCGACCATACATTATTGCCTCTATTTTACTTACACGCGTCAAATATACGTGGGCACGCAAGTTAAAATTATGCAACATTCGATATTCACCTTAACAGCGGTGACAGTACTGATAACGAAAAACACGCCGATGGAAAAACTGAAACTAGATTTATCATTTAACATTTAACCAGGTTATCGGTGTGAGGCTGACCATTGAATGACACGAATACCTGAGGTCGCTACCTTGACGATGATCACTTGCAACAATTGTTGACTTCAAACTAGAGCCTCCAAGTATAATGCAAGTGTACTTAGAACCTACTTTGAGTGTGAAGGGGTAAAATGTATCTACTTAAACTTTACTTGGTGAACATGGAAACGTCCGTAGTTCAAAGAAGCCGAAGTTGGCCCAAAAGTATGGTCTGCACAACACTTGAGAACACACTTGACCAATAAAAAATGGAAGCTACCAAAAAACGCAAGACTTGTCACCACCAAAGGAGAATAGAAACGTTTCCTTTTTTCATTCTTATCCTTGTATGAGCGCTTGCATCGCACCGGTTTACACCTAGTTTTCCAGCGGTTACGCTCTTGTTTATGCTTCTACTTCTAAACCATTGAAGCATTTGCACCAGCAATCAACCAAGTTTGCTTGGTGATGAGTAAGCTAATCGATTCAGCAATTTAAAACCCGTAACAGACAAATGATCCATTAAACCTTTAGAAGGCCTTATCTGAAAGCACTCATCAGAATGTGCAATGAAATACTTACATGGTAGAATATTTGCGTATCGATTTTTTGCAGCATTGCAATTAAGACTGGCACTCTTGAAAGCTATGGGGTGATTCTCTTCTTTAGCCAACCGGCAAAACTCGTTTTCCAAGTAAGTATAGCCGGTTTCCGGGTCAAATTGACGAAGTTCCCGTATGCGGGAACCCAGGTCTTTAGCCTCGACTTCCGTGACTCCACAGGTGATGGCCTCGAGAAGAGCATCATGAATAAAAACGTACTGCGCCTAAGACAAATGTCCATAGCAAAGAAAAAGTAAATTTCCTTTCTATCGTTGGGTTCTGCTTGCGTTTTGCTCTGCAATCGCAGTCATCTTCATGCGATGACCAGGCTAGGTGAGCATTGGCTTTGCACACGTTCGGTATGTACTTAGGGCAGAACTATATCAGGAAAAATTGTTGCAGACATTGGAGAAAATTTTTCTCCATCTCAAATAAATTGTAAACATATGTTGCGTATGCGCGACTCATAGTTGGGGTGCTTTGCACGCCAACGCCACCACCTATTTCCAACAAAACATCAGCACCGAAGGTGCGATCCTGGTAAATATAAAAGATGGCCATTTTCTTAAATGTCTCGCTCTGTTCTTGTGATCCGCTTGACTTATTTTTGCAGTGTTAATCTCGACATAAACGTGAAAGTTGAGCTTGGTTCAACTTTTACGTTTTCGCGTGACCTTCCATACATTGTCTCTATTTTATTTACGCGCGTAAATTTTACGTGCATTCGCACAAAAAAATTTCGCGACAGTGGCAATCAACCTTAAAGCAAAGTAGACATACTCAGCCTGTAAATCATGCAGCAATTATTTCTAACTCATTCGTTATCATTAACAAAAGTGACTTAGGCGTCCACCACTTACCTCAGTTTGAACCATGAAGTTTCTCTGGTATCTCATTTGACGAACGAAACCAAACACGTCTACACTATCTTCCAAACTAATCCTCTGTAACATAACATCAAGTGTGACAAACGTACCGGTTCGGCCAACACCCGCACTAAGGAAAACAAATCACAGTCTGTAAAGGTGGATATTCACTGTGACGTAATTTCTACGTGCGTACGCACGTTTATTTTACGCGCGTAGAGAAGATAAAGGCAATCTGTGAAAGCCCGCACGTAAACGTACATTCAACTTTAACGCGCGTAAAACATGCGCGNGTGGGGGAGGGGGGCATGGAGAAGTGGAGAAGGCGCTCATTAACTCCCCAAAACAAATGAAACTTTATTTAGTTTCGGGCAACAGCTCTGTCTCTGTAAACCTGCGGAGTTAGATAATGACGTAACGGATATGAAACTGACTTATATTTATGCTGGTATGGTGAAAATTCCATAAGACTTAAATAGGAGGCGAGAGAAAGTTCTGGTAAGTGGGGTTAGTTTCAGCGCGGGAAGGGCATTCCGTTGTTTATTATATACATACTTAGAAATACTCACCAAAAAGCTATGTCGTAAATTTTCGTACGCAAATTAGTTCTAGCCAATCAGAGGAGCGAACGATGGTTTTCACACGTGAAAAAAATGATACGTCCAATCAGAATCGCGAACGATGTTTTTTCACGTGTGAGAAAAATGATACGTCCAATCAGAAGCCACAGAGCTGTGTGAGTTTCGCGCCAAAATTCCCGCCTTTTATTGCAGCTTGAAGCGCCGCTTCGCACACATTCAACGAGAAAAGTTTTACTCAAAGAGTTTTTCTCGCTAAAAAAGTGAAAAACATTTCGGAAATGGAGTGGAATAGTTTCGTTTAATTCACTGTCTATAAAGAAAACGGTAGAGAGCCGGCGAAACAACAGCGGAAAGGGAAAACAGAACGAGACGTAAGCTTTTGTTGTGCTTTTTGTCAGAGCTACTTTGCCTTTCATTTAAGCTTTAAGCTTATATTGAAACCGGCCATTTTACTTAAATTCACTCATTTTTAATTGTGCATTGACAACAAACAGTTAAGATTACTTAAAGTTCTTGGATTACCTCATATCCTTAGCATCATTTATATTTCAACAAACGTTTTTACTAAAAAGCTGATGCTTCGTTTTCGTTGTCATTTTGCAGTAAGTGTGTAGCGGCAAGTTTTAGCATTTTTGAAAGATTTAAAATAAAAAGGCCGCCAAAATGATGAATGTCTCAGTATGTATATAATAAACACAATACCACATGGAAAGTGCTTTGTACGGTATTTACGCACTCGTTGTTTTTGTATCAGAAATCTCACTCGTTCGCTGCGCTCACTCGTTCGATTTCTGATACGTCAACAACTCGTGTGTAAATACCGTACGCCAGCACTTTCCATGAAGTATTCTCTATATTCGAGTAAATACGGCATATATGTCAGTTGCATGCATGAGTACTTTATAAGCTTGCGGACACATACAACAATTTATGTTTGTGCATACAATGCACAAAGGTAATCGTGTTGTCCACATAAAGAATAGGCCTTTATAATTACCGCATCCTTTTGAACAAGGGCGGAACAAAGGGGTGACAAAATACAATGGTTTATTTAGAATTCAAAACATAAGTTATTCCACTGTGTCTCTCTGCTTGCCAAAGGGGAATAGGTGTGATGATCATAAACCTAAAGAAATTTTTAGAAAACCAAGAAGCATTAAGCAGCTTACCAGTTTGTGTGTTATGATAAATTTTCTCAAAGTATAATGGGACATGTTGAGAGTTTCTTTTAAGGTGACTTGTATTGGGCCATAATTCTTCATTCCTCGTTCAGGCCAGTACTGGTCGCACTTTCGCTAAGGAAGAGAATAAATCGTACTAATGTCACTCATAGGCAGTGGGAATACCTTAAATTAATAACCGCTTTGCAATGAAAATCGATACCTTAAAGTTCCGAAAGTAACGACCCCTCGAAAGTAGCGAACCTTCCGAAACTAGTGATAAAATGTCTCAGGTGTTAGCAAATCCCGAAAGTAGCGATCTCCCCCGGAAATAACGGCCCTCTGAAAGTAGAGACCTCAAAACTAATTTCCCTTTTTGCAAAAAAATAACGGATATGACAGATATCCTGAACAAGTGCCACAGTGATCCGAGGTTTATTAATAATGATTATTTTACATTCCTATTCATACCTCTTAACGTACAGGATATACATTAACATTTTCCAAAAAGTATTCCTTCCACAATTTTTTGCGATTTTATTTTTTGAAGTGCCCATGTGGAGTACTCGTCTTGGCCATCCGAAAGAAGAAGCCTCCGAAAGTAGCGATAGCAGAAGGGGCTAAATTCGAAAATAACGAGGGTCGTTACTTTCGGAACTTTACGGTACTTCAAGAGTTCTACTTTTAAAAGAGTGAAGGCGAAATAAACACGTCAGATTCATTTTACTTTAGGGGTAAACAGGGTGAACTACAGAGACAGAGAAACTGCAAATGGAGCTTTCTGAGGGCATCGTGGCTCCAAAATCACCTGATTAATATCCGTCTAGCAGATCCATCTACTAGATAGTGTTGTCCAGCTTTTGACCAACAGGGGTGCGAATAGCTGAATTTAGAGATCGCTTTTACCCGAGAAGCCAATTCAAACACGGTAGAATCATTTAACGCAAGGGGTGATATATAACAGACTACCAAGTTTCTGCCTGGTGGGTTCTCTACCAAAAAATAATTGTCTTCATCACTTCCTTAAAAATAGATAACCTCTCTACAGAATGGTTATATCATAAAGTTGGTAGGGCATTCGTTTATTACACTAATCTTCGCTACACCACAAATTTACATTCAGTCGTGACAGACGGAGGGATTTTAAAACACAGCAGTATAGTAAACAGTACACACTAATGATTATAGCAGACGATATCATTGGCACAAAAAAGAAAAAAAAAAAAAAAACTTACTCTCCCTCTCTCTTCTAATTTTGTCAACATGACAATGACTGAAGACATTTGCTCCCATATCATGCGCCAGAAGTCATCAAATGTCTCCATCAACGGACCTACAAAAAAACAATTTGGGAAAATGTATGAGGATTTATTGCATTGTGAATCATAATAGCAGTAGTATCAACAGTTGTTAGGCATAATAGCAGTAGTATCAACGGTTATTAGGAGCATTGCGCATGATGTCGTACCTTGTGCAGCTATGTAAGCTCTCTGCCGGTTGTAACCCTAAAACAAAACGATAAAATTTGTTCGTGGTAAATTGCAGGGGAAAAAAAGCACTTTATTCGAGTGTCAATGTATTTAGCACTAAAGTACGTCTCCTTCTGGAGACGGGACCGCCATTTTACGTAGTCATCCGAGCCACGCGAAGACCTAGCTGTTTGCAGGACAAAGGTACTGTAGTACCTTCATTCATTTCTCAGTTATTTTAAGACCCTGAGTGTTGGTTCGGCGACCTCCTGCTCTGCAGTGAAGCGCTCTACCGACTGGGCTGATCCTGTTGGGGTTAAAATACCTAGAGTGGCAACATGCTGCAGGACAAAATACTTGGCAACTTACAGCGCCTTTTGTCAAGCGCAAATAAAGAGCGACGACTACGAGTACAAGATTTTAATTCTCAAAAGAGAGTAGTGCTCACTCGTGAACTAGCGTCATTTTGGCGGGAGAACGTGATAGCCGTCGTCATTCTACTACCTTTGTTAGCGAGAATGTCGTAGTGGCGGGAACAAGTTATCAACTGTAAGAAAGTTTAGCATTTTGCTATCGGGAGAGGGCTTAACATCCTTCAGTATAAATAACCGTACTAACTTTTTTGGCGAAATAAAAGTAAGATGAAGCACTCTGGGGTGTCTTTTTTTTTAGAGCACGCGCAAAAGCTTTAAGTTAAATTTTGTACTCGTTCTCGCCCTCAAATTTAAAGCTTTTTAATATCAAATCAAGTACATGTCCAGGATATGAATACGGTACATCTAGAGAGGCCGCGGTTAACTTAACTTCTTCAAAGGGTCATTCCCCTTGTCCTTGTTGTGTGTGTGTTTTTGTTGCTGTTGTTGTTGGTGGTGGTGTTTTTAATGCCCGCGTTGTTCCTGTTGGGTTAAGGAAGTTCAGGGATGATATATCTACCAAATTAAGGAATTCAGCAACGAATGCCCACATGTCAGGCCATTTAGACATGCTGCTAAATATATCACTCACCCGCTATATTGGTTTTAACTAAAAAAACAGAGAGATGTGTTTATTCAACTTACATCTATGAAGTTGGCGTTAATGTAGTCCGACCCTGCAATACCTTCGATCGGGTTCAACAGGACTCTTGTATGATCATCTTGCAAAGGAAACAGACACAATTATCACCTCTTGTTTAACCTTATCAAACCTTGCTACTAAAAAAAAACCTGTTACAATGAACGTAAAGTTCCGCACATCGCGAATACTAAAAATCTTTTTTAATAAGTTGAGATAATATTCAATTCAATAATTATCACATAGGAGAATATTCATAGTGTTTCGCTCAAACAGACAAAGGTGTTGGCTATAACAGCAAGACGTTGTCTACATATTAGCGAACCTTTCACAGCAAGGCCTAATTTACGACATCAAAATATTGATCGGATTATGCGAAAAAGAGAGGCTAATTTGGTTTGTAGGAATACCGTATTTCCTCAAATATTACCCGAGAGCGATTATTTCTTTTTTCGCACCAAAAGGGGGCGATTATTCGAGAGAGGCGACTGTTTCAAATATTGTTCAGTGGACACACTGCCCTAAAGGTTTTGTTCTACTTTCCACTAAATCAAAAAATAATCACGTCATATAAACTGAACCCTGGCATTTAAAGTGTTGCAAATTTGATTCCTGATTGATTTTCAATGTTAATGTCCTCGGCGTCAGAACCTGAATCGTCACTGATCAGTTTTGCTGGATCAGACTCCACTTTAGCGTCATCCTCCAAGTTTACCGCTATGGCTATCACTAGCGAGTAACCTATAGGGGTGACGGGGGGGAAGGACGATTAATCGAGGGACGCGATTTTTTAAACATTTCCGTCAAAACGAGGCGATTATTCGAGGAAGGCTATTAATCGATGGACGGCTATTATTCGAGGAAATACGGTATACCGCTCTTTTATCCAGTTCCATTTTCTTAATGGGGCTCTGTTACACTATTTGCTATCTTTATCTAAGCCTGTATTTAACCATTGGAAATGTTTTCAGTCGTCTTTTGTAATAGATCTCAAGGATGGACAACGAAAACTTAAACAGGTAGAAACAGTAAGTTTCTATGCTATGCCCGCAAGAATCAGCAAAACATTATAATTGTTAGGGCTCCCTGATAAGATTTGTTTGATATCTACTTCACATCTTTACAGGAGCACTTTGTGTTAGGCGAAGGCACGAAGTAATGACTTTCAGCGCAGAATTGACCTGAACAGCAATATCCTAATAACAGCTAGCCAAGGTCAGAGACTGTTCAATAGAATATTGTCAAACAGCACCTACATGCAACAATATTGGCGTATCTGTTTTTATACTTGTTGGCGGGATTCAAGAATTGTTGAAACGAAAAGTCTTCGTCTGGTTGAACAAGCTGCAAAAGAATAAACAAAGGATTTCGTTAGATGTTGAATTGTCAAAGAAGGCGCAAGTTTCAACCTAGTACCGTCGTAGAATTAGCGATGTGTCACAGGTCAACCAAGTTTTAAATGTAGCAAACTACAGTGTTGATCGAGCTCAAACGAGAGACATTTTAGAAAGGTAAAAAAAGGTTTTCAGATTTAAGGTTGTAACTGTCTCTCCTCAAAGTCAGTTGATACTTAGCTAACATCAGTCGATTTAACTTTTTTTTTTAATTCTAATGCATGTACTCACTGCTTAGAGAATTTAAGGGTTTGTAAGTGGTAACTGTGGACTCGTCGGCGCCATTTGTCAAAGGAACAATATTGTTCAAGCAAAAAGATTTTCAACAGAAACTTGTCATTCGGTGAAAAATGAAAACATAATTTGAACATTTACCGACTATTTGTGTTTCGTTAAATTTAAAGCGAACTCCCATTAAAAAAAGAGTGAAAAAAAGAACAAAAAAAAAAAAAAAAAAAAAGGGAAGAAAAGAAAGAAAAGAAAGAAAGAAAAAAGGACAGGAAAGAAAAGGAGAGACACGCCTCCAAGTGCGGTGTAAACATTTTGCGCCATTTATTTAAACGTAGTTGTGTTTAACAAAACCGCGTTCTAAGACATTTTTAATTTGCCCAACGGTTTTACGTAAATACCATTTTTTGTGACCAGTTTTATGAAAGCATATAAAGCACGACTAGAGAAAGCATTTATCTTCTTAAAATAACCCACTAAGGAAGAGATATGGAGGTCCAAAGACTTGTTAAATCGCGGCTTAAGTTAAACTTCGTTTAAATAACCGACCCTTTAGCTTTATTTGGGTCACACGCTGTCTACGTCTTCATACCGCGTATTCATCAGAAAATCCATGATCTCCATCCATGTGCATTCTGTCAACATGTCTTTCAAAGTCATCTATTGGTACAGGTTGCCGCCCTAATAAACATAAATTCGATTTAGGATCAGGTCGCAATTTACTAGATCACCAATACTGACCGCTTACCAATCGAGCGACTGGAAAACTGCTCACAAGTAGACTGCCTTCAAAAATATTGTGCAGAAACACATATCAATACTGGGCAAATGTGTTGCAAAAGTTACCTAGCAACATGGCTCCTAAAACACTCCATAACACCGGACTGGCCGGAAACTGTTTTTATAACACTGGAAGTCTAAGCACATTCAAAACGCGCAACGTTTGCGTGGTTTCATTTGCTCTACTAGCAGAGGAGAGGCGGGGTAAACGAGAAGTTGAAAGGCAGATCTTCTCGGAGGCTTTTTTACTTAAAAGGCCACTCATGGCGTCGAAACGCGAGCAGTTAGCGATTGAGAAGACGTCAGCATATGACTCTCCTCGAACGAAGTTGTACGTAAAAAAGCCAACAGAGGGATGTTGAGTGAGCGCTAAATGCCACATGCAAAGCAGCTCATACTAAGTCATAACAGAAGCGCATCAAGTCCCTTGGGGGTTGAGGGGGGAAACAAGAGTTCCTCGGCACTCCACAATGAACGGCCTGATTAATGAGAAACTTGTACCGATCTTCAG